ATTTACTTATGAAAGTCTATAGAAGCGTTAATGGATTTTTTCTTAAAACGAAAATCCATAAAAGTTTACAGATTTTTTTTATATGTCTGCAAAATCTATAAAAATCAATAGAAGTTCACAAAACTCTACAAATGACTACAAGTGTGTTTTCCCACAATCATCCCGAAAATCGGAAGGAGTGTGGAGCACATCCAGACCTGGAGGCAGGAGCATTAGAACTACGAGACCTGGCAACTTCAATAGTCAAGTAAGGTAATGTATCATTTCCCTTGCATCCATGCATTTACTTGGTAAAATAAAAACCCAAGAAACTAAACCAGAAAAGAAGCTGACAATGGTTTAACATCAACTAAGTAACGAGAAAAGATATCTTAAAGAATAAACAGTGTGCTTAAATTAATTGTCACATACATTAGACTTCTTAAACTATATGAAAGTAAACCTCTAGTGTGCTTAAGTTAAGAGACCTTATCCAACGCCACTACTCTATGGAGAGGGCATTAAGCTCTAACGTGCCTTAGTTTTTTTCTTATTTAGATGTCAGTTCTTCACTAATGTGAACCTGGAAGTGGAAGTAGAAAACGGAGAACATAAGAAGGGGCACTGTTTTCTTCTTAGTGATTCCACTTATTTTGCTTCTCACTTTAAATTCCTTTTATCACCAAGCCAATGGCACAACTTTGGACACTAAAAACAATAGGCAGAGACTAGAAATGGGCATAGGAATAGGAGGTTAACTTCACAGGAAATGCCAGAAAAGAAATTACAAACTAAAACAAATTGAGTGCCACAACATTTCAAAAATGCTAAATAAAACTCAAAACTTTCACCCACCGATGCTGAAATATAAATAGGAATTTCCAGGAGATAATGCAAAATTAAGTGAGATATGTGCATTCCTAAGTGATGTTGGTAAATCAGTCTTATTGACCCCAAAAAGGTCAAATGGTAAATTTTCTGAATGAATTCATGAGGCCTGTTTTGAATATCCTCCATCGTGCATAAATAAATGTCTCTAGGGGTAAGTATCCAAAGTTTCACGAGTACAGAATAAGGCTAAAAGGCAGCCTCTGAACCAGCAAATTATAGATTTTGTGTATTGAAATTGCAGCATATATCCACCAAAGTATTCCTTCCCTAACAATTTATATGAATATACGCACATAAAATTGATCTCAATAGCACCTATGATCTAAAAGAACTCAACTTATCGTCAACCAATTTAAACACCAAAAACAAAAAAAAAATCCTCAAATTCCAACCCTACCTGATCTCACCACTGCTGGCATCAGCTGCAGTATCCGTTTCCAGAGCCGCCGCCACTAGAGTCGGACCAGAAACCGTCCCCGAACCCGCCGCCTGCAGAACATGTAATTCATTCAACCCAAATGAAAAGAAAAAAAAAAGGAAAGAAGGAAAGAGAAAAAAAAAACCTACTTTCACTAGATTAATCACACCCCATATTCAACGAAAATAGTGCTAAAACTTTCAAAAAAACATTCAATTTATATGTTAAAATACATATTACCAAACCACTTGCCAGAATGGGACAGTCGGCACTCACTCGATCTTTGATTTGTGGCCGTGATTGAGGAGAAGAGAGGAAACAAGAATTGAGTCGACGAGGCTACAAAAGATGAGAAGTTGCAGAAGGGGTTGCGAATTAAGAGAGGAAAAAGCATGAAATTAAGAGAGGACTTACTGGCGAACTTGACCGTGGAAAATCAGCAATTGGCATCAGCAATTTGGTGAGAATATGAGAGAGGCGGAGCTCGTGGGACTGTAGGGGAGAGAGAGGGATGGAAGATAGGTTAGGGCGCCGTGGAGATGGAAGACTTTTTGTAAGTCTTGTGAGTGGCTATTGGGACTTGGGGGTGAAAGTAGAGGTTTTTCTCTTCATTTCGCAACGTTAATTGAACATTGCGAAAATGTTGGGACTTGGGGGTGAAAGTAGAGGTCTTTCTCTTCATTTCGCAACGTTAATTGAACGTTGCGAAAAGGGGAAGTTTTCGCAACGTTCAATAAACGTTGCAAAAGGGAAATTTTTTACAACGGCCAATAAACGTTGCAAATGGCGAGTTTCAGCAACGTTCGTCAAATGTTGCTATAAAATTAAAACTTTTTGCAACGTTTATTAAATGTTACGAAAGGCGGCATTAGCAACATCTAGTTACAAAATATTGCCAAAGCTCAATTATGTTAATTAATGGCAACATTCGCTTATTAAAATGTTGCCGTAGACTCTTTTAGCAACATTTAACTACCGAATGTTGTCTTTTATGTGTTGCAAGTGATGATTTTTGGTGTAGTGTACACTGCACAAATTCGTTTCTCTTTATTCTGTATAGAAATTGTTTTCATTAAAGATATCTGATTTTTTTTTTTATTTTTTTTTTTTAATGTAGCATTCATAATGTGACTCGTGACATTCGATAGGAGAAAAATGCGTAGGAAGAGCTACAGTTCTACCTGTTTTTCGTATACGAGTAAAGGTCACGAGAAAAAGGTCGAACATTTATTTCCAAAAAAATTAAATTTTAAAGTTTTTTCAATGGTTAAATTAACGATAAATTACTAGCTCAAATTTTGTAATTTATAGAAAATGTGACATGTCATGAGTTGAGTTTGGATAATATAATAACACCCTTCCTCCTATCCTTTTTTTTCCTTTTGTTCTTCCTTTTTTTTTTTTTTTACGACTTTTAGAGTTAATTAAGAAAATATAATAGATTCACAAATTCCTTTTCATTCTTATATTATTTATTGAATTTAATTCTTTCGTTTTTCAATTAAAAATTTTACTTTTAATTCTTCTTGCTACACCTAAGATTAATTAAGTTTGACCATTCAATTGAAAATAAATTTCATATAATATAAAGGAGCTATATGGAGACCTTCTTTTAAAAAAATCAAATCAAATCAAAGAGGCCAAAACATATTTTTGTTTGTTTACTTATTTAAGTTTAATATTGTCAACACGTTATTTAATCTCTTTCCTGACACTTGTGCTATTCACATCCAAGAAGAAACCTTGTAAATTATGGTCTCTTAAAATCATTAAAATAAATATCTTAGCATTAATGATAAATTTTAATCTTCATTTGCCCCTTATTTTAAAATTTAGTTTTTCGTAAATTCATTCTTAATCACACCTTCTCCTTGTAAAATAATTATGCATTTGAATACACAACTTTTCTCATATTTTTAAACCACACATTTATCAAGAATTCACTTTTCACAAAATAAAAGCTAATAATTGGACAATATAAGCATTTTATTTTGTTATTTCATTAATTTAATTTTGATTTCACTCTGAGAATTTAAATTAAGGTTGCCTGCTAATATCATAAATTATTGAAATTTAATTTCTTCTGACCTGTTGAACCCTATTAAATAAATTTTGCATACAGTTTTTATCATCTTTATTCTATTTAGATGAGACATTAAATGTATTTTCTTTGTTTGAGAAAAATAAAAAAATGAAAAATATATCCATAATTAATTATTCAGTTACGATTTCTAAAATTAAATTATTTGACAAATTAAATATTCTAATGAATATTAATATATAATTTATTAGCAAGAACAAGACAAAGAAAGTTTACAATAATATTTACTCACAAATTTAAATAGAAATTAATCATGCAAGAAATAGCCAAGAAAACACTAAAAGCCAATAAATCCATCAAAAGCCACGCTTAAGACAAGTGAAACTGTTGGCACCAGAACAATTGATGGAGTAAATGCTGGTGAAGAAAACGAACGATGTTGAGGCGATGCACTGGGTGGTTTCGCCACCGGAGCATTGGCGGCGGGTGGCAGAGCAAGTGGTGGCGTTCTCACTGCCAAGACAACAACGATAAGCTTTTGACCTTTATCACAGTTGGTTTTGTTCCCCGTGATGAAATAGAACGGCCCTGACCGATCAAATTGGAAGATTGAATTGCCATCTTCCATTTTTGTCTTCGGATTGCTGGTGTTGCAGTTGTCGAAATCGTCTTTCTCTACTTCCAGTACAGAATCCATTCCTCTTTCGTATTTGAACACTACAAAGAACAAACAATTATCGAAACAAAACAAAAATTATAGGACCAAATGACAGAAACTTAGAATTAATACGTACAAACGGTGTCATTAACTTGAAATCTCAATCTTTGAGCCCAGTGACTGTAACTCTCAGTAGGGTTTATTACCCAGCCATCTTTGCCTCCTACGTTCAATTGATAACCATACGAGGCGCACGTAAATCCCAGGAAGAATATTAGAAAAAGGGAAATGTATATCTGTGTAGCCATGGAGAAAAGAGTATAGAGAGAAAAATACTGATTGAAGCAAAAGGTTTCTGATGAAGATGGAGTTATATAGGAGATGAATTTAAAAGTTACCGTTGTGAGTAGAAGGGTAGAAACTATTTTCGCAAAACTGAGAAAATGAATTATTAATGTTTTCATATGCAATAAATTTAGGGTTACCTGTGATTATTTTCTGTTACAAATGATAGCACAAACCGTGGAGAAAATATAGAGACTCAACGGTATAGAAGATATTGAATTGGATTCTCGACCATAGTTAAAAAGCCTTGACTCAACTGGTTTATAGAGAGTTGGCAAATGGGTTTATATATCGATTTGGTTTGGTTTGATTTGACTTGGTTGAGTTGTAAGATGAATCGATCAAAATTCAACTAATTTGAGCAAGTTTTTAGTAATTTTTTGAAGAATTGACATGAAGTGATAAAAAAATTGGTATATAGATCGGTTTGATAGTTTCATTGACTTATAAAATGAATCGGCAAAAATTCGACTAATTTGAGCAAGTTTTTAGTAAATTTTTGGGGAATTAGGGCAGATGGAAGGTCAATGTGCATTTTGGACAAAGACGTGTCACCAAAAATGACCAAAAAAGAGAATATTAAATTGATATTTAATGCGAAAAGGCCTTAGACCTAAACGGAAAATTAAAATTGATATATGATTTTGTCAATTAAGGCAATAGAAACTCTTGGAATATCAATAACGTAGGAAAAAATTTTTAGTACAAAGTTTTGAGTAGTTCATACTTCGAAAGTACTAGAAATTTTTCAATTTTTTGCATGACCTTTCGAGTTGTAGATTGTAACTAATTTACAAGAACACATTGCTTTTTTGAAGCGTAATTTACATTGATCCGTTAGATATGGATTTTGTATTTGTTACGTTTTTCAGTTTGGTCTATTTTTTTCTTGTACTGATGTTTAGATTTTTATTCAACATTAGTATGTTACATGTTGATTTTTTTTTTTTTACCAATAAAGTGTTACATCATGTTACTTTTTAATTTAAACGATGTCTCAATTCATGTTTATATTTAAGTTTTCACAAACACGCCTGTATGCATCTATATTCTAATTGATCCTAAAGAATTCATATGATATTTTTAGAATGTCATTTTTATCACTCTCTTTTTCACAAACACTTTGCATGCATCCATCACTTGATTGATCTAAAATTGATTTTTCATATATATTAACTCAATCAAATTAATTACATCATGTCATTTTTTAATGCAAAACAAGGTTTAAATTCTTATTTATATTTAAATTTTAAAAGTACATATTGATACACATATTTAATTGCTCCAAAGAAATTGGAATGAAATAGAGTGCGGCCTTTTTATTCACATTCTCATTTTTCCAAACACCTTGTATACATCACTTGAAATGAATCAAATATTAATTTTCATACATATAACTCATTCCAATTCATACAAATCCAAATTTAAATATATACTAACTCAAAATTATTAATCTTAATATGAAATTTCATATAAAAAAAAAAAAAAAACCTCCAATGACATCAACATTGAACTAAATATGAACTAATGGAGTAAAAAATTCAAAACATAAAAATCTTTAATTTTTGATTGATTAGTTGCAGATTTAGAGAAAAAAAAATTAAAAAAAAGGTAGTTGAAGCAATCCTTGATCTTGTTTGGGCTTGATTTTCGCAAGATTTCCACTTGTGATTTCGATTTTGCTTGATTTGGATGTCAAAAGATTTCTGTACTTTGGAGCCGTCAACTTTTTCTCAATGTCGCTTTCACCATATTTCTGACGATTAAATTGGGATGAAACTGTATTATCTATATTTTAGTCCAGGTTTATATCGATTTTTCAAAAGCATCCCAAAATTAATGGTATATCGATTTTTCAAAAGCATGCAAAATAAAAAGCATCTTGATTGGCAGAAATGTCCCCCTATGTTTAAGAAAAAAGGATAAAATCTTGTTTATTATGTTGCCTAGTGGGTTAAATCAATCAGTGACCACTAAACTTTTACTAGGTCTCTATTTACTATACCAACTTTTAAAGATTATTCAATACTAACCCATCTCCCAATTACTTGCCTTACAGCATCCGTTAAGAAAACGGTTACAATTGTTGACGGAAATTCCACATGACAAATAAAAATCAAGATGGAGGTTAAGTCGTCTCCTCCTGAGTGTATATATAATTATTCAAATTTTTATTTTAAAAATGTGGGCTTATATTTTGATGAATTCCAACATATAACATGCAATGCTTAGTTCGATTTTGATGCATTCCACTGCACAACATGTGAAAACCTCCCATGTTATGTGTTGTGATGAATCATATTTGTAGCCTTTAATCTTTTCTTGATTTTCTTTTTAAATTAAAACCAAATTTGCATGCCTCAAGCCCAATCGGCCTCTTCACGTAATATGGGAAAATGCAACTGCCCTTTTTAGTTTATGCAACGCCAACATATAGACGAACGAGGCGGTCGCCTAAGATGTCATAATTATCGTCTTTTATTTTGAGTAGGGGTATGGCAGTGAGGGAAGAAGTAGACTATTTTTGTTTTTATTTTTATTTTTCTCTATCTTTTTCATTTAACTTTCTTGTACAAATTTTTTGTTTATTTAAGGGTAGAATTGTCTCTTTACATGACATTAACTGCGAAAATGGATGGAAAATCGTCAATAAGGATGACATATGCGAATAAAAGAAAGGTTTGGACAGGGTGAGGATAAAAAATTGTAGGGATGAAACTACTACAAGATGGAAAGGTTGAGATCTATAGTGAAATTTACTCAAAACAGATGGATGATTGTGAAATGTATATATTAGTAAATTTAAACATTCAGAAAACTCTAGTAATAATGGGAAAAAAAAAAAAAAGATAGAGAGAGAGAGAGAGTCAATTATAGACCTAATTACCATATTTTCTTTATTTTTAGTAAGATGATGATTCATTTCGAAGACAATAATCTTTGAATTTCTTAAATTGCCTGAGCTTTAGAAGTATTTAACTACTCTTTTTAACTTTAGACTTAATAGTCTCTAAACTCATACTGATGTTTGGAGTTTCGTCTTGAAACGTTAATCTTGTTAATCTATACCGTTACGTTAGTTATTATTTTTATTTCTAATCTACTTTAACCTTAACATGGAAATGGTATGATGGAGCATTTTTAAAAAGCAAAAGTACAATTTCAATATTTCAAAGTTACCAACGTACTATATATATTTCTTCGATTCAAAATACACTACACAAATTCCTTTTTTTTATTCTGTATAGAAATTGTTTTCATTAAAGATATCTGATTTTTGATGATTTTTCTTTAATGTAGCATTCATAACGTGACTCCTGACATTCGAAAGGAGAAAAATGCGTAGGAAGAGCTACAGTTTTTTTAAGACATGCAATCAGTCTAGAAGTCGTTAGTCTATTATTTTCTTTATTTTCGAGTTCATGTGTTGGAGGTGTAAAATTACGTCCTCCTATGTAAAATTATGTAATTTTCTACCTGTTTTTCGTATACGAGTAAAGGTCACGGGAAAAGGTCGAACATTTATTTCCAAAAAAAATAAATTTTAAAGTTTTTTCAACGATTAAATTAACAATATTCCCTTCTACTACTACTGCTAAAAAACTAATATAAGGGAATTAAAATATATCTTAGTGTAAAAGAAATTAGAAAATCTATTTTAAACCAGAAATGAGAATAAAAGATAAACTCATTACAACCAGACATCTTAATATAAATATCTAACTTTTATCTTATTTATGTAATAAGTAAAAATGATATTTGAACAATCATGTCACGCATATTTTTGAATAATAATTGATTGTTTCAAAAAGTGTACCATGCCTCTATATTTATAGGCAAAATTATTCCCTTCTTCTACTACTAGTAGAAAACTATTAATGAGAGAACTAAAATATATCCTAGTGTAAAAGAACAAGAAATAAGAATAAAAAGACAAACCCATTACAACTAGACATTTTAATATAAATATCTAACTTTTATCATATTTACAATAAAATTGTCGTATATCAATCTCTCTTACTTGAAGGGGAAAAAAAAAAGCAAAGCAAAAAAAAAAAACCCTCATCCTCAAGTTTTGTTGAAGAAAACAATCCTAGACAACTTGTGTGTTTCCGAACTTAGCTGAGACTCGAGGAAATTTTCTAGCCAGATGTTGCCGTGTTCTATGCTTGTTGAAATAACTAACATTAGCTGCAGTTAAAGTCTGCAAATTCTTGTCAGCTTGCTTCTCCATGAGCTTGTGATCTCTTTTAAGACTCAACACAATTAACATCTACATGATGTTGTGAAGGATTTCGTTGACCCCTCCATTCATTACGATTCAGCTGCCAGCAGGACCATCATTAGCCATGAGATTAAGGCAATTTTGCTTTGATACCAATTTTTGGTGTGAAAACGATATGAAATTCTTGTAATAAGAATTACGTAATAAATAAAAATGATATTTGA